TCTGCATTATTTGGTAAACCCAAATGTTAGAGTGTAGCATGTATTTTAAAAGAAATGTGTTAGTTTTATTGCTGTATTTGCATTATCTTCTGTTTGGCTTTGTTTCATTTTACTCGGCTTGCAAGGATTTTCTACTTAGTTGTTTTCACTTTCAAGGGGAAATTATTTCCCTCCCTCCTTCCTTCCTTCCCCCCAAAAAGAAGCATATAATTTTATACCAAAGGAGGAAGTAGTATATTAGATTGTAATGGTTAATTTTTCTGCTAATTTTTCTTGTTCACCTCATTCTCTCTTACTGTCATTCCATAAATTAAGTTGATGCTTTTGATTCCTGAAAGTATTTGTTTTTAGCAGAAATAATTATTTTTAAGAGTCAGTTAAGCAGAAGATAGTAGAACTTCAAAGCATTCCTTGCAGGTTATTCTTTCAGGCATGGAAAGGGATGTTGTTGGATGTTCATAGTTGAAAGCTTTACACCGTTTAATTGCTTGTGCTAGTATTTCTTTTGCTTTTTTATGTGACCGACTCCACTTTTCTATCTAAAAGCACATTGTGACCAGAAAAGTAAGTAGCAAAAGGATCAAATGACAGAAAGTATATTGGCCTGACAATATTGTCTTGAAGACCATTTCCTCAGACATTGCACAAAATGAAAAAGACGGGAATATTGAGCTGAATGCCTGCAGATCACTAGGACAACTTACATTCACCAGGTCTTGAATTTTCATAGTAAAATAATGAGCAATCTCCTCCAATAAAAAAGGACTACCTTGGTGAACTAGATTCTGTAAGGCTGTAGTCAGCCAGTCATCTGAGTATAATTTCTTATTGCAAAACGACAAGGGATAATAAAATGATAGGGAGATCTGAAGAGAATTACTACAAAATGTTGTGCTTTTGGTGCTGTGCTTCTTACCGATTGCACAAGACGTCTCATTCTGATGTATGTGTATTATAGAAAACATATGTAGACTGGCAGGAATGTAAACTACTGAGGCTAATGTAATCAGTGTTGCTAAATTTAGGGAATTTCGGGTTAATGTATTCCAATGTAATTGAAGCGAGTGCAGAATATACATTGCTGTTTGATTATTTGGTCCTTCTTTTAGGTAGACCTGAAATAATAATACCAAGAAAAATGTGTGTTCGTTAGCAGGAAATACCTTAACAACTGCCTGTATTCAGGCTGCTAAGATCTGGAAAAATGATACTGTTAATAATGAACTGGAACATCTGGCATAGATTGCTAATTTAGAACAAGCATGGGCTGTTTCAGCAGTGTGGATTGGAACTCTTGTTTCTCAGCTTTCCAGCAGGCTGCTATTTGGTGATGATGTGATGTCTGGAAGGATCAAGACAAAACTTTTGGGCTCATTTTTTTTTGGATGGATCTGAGTGGAGATGGACAATAAGAGTTGGGAGTGGGATATGTCCCAGAAGAAAACTGTTACACCGCAGCCTTTCTCTGTAGTAAAAATTACGCACAAGTGCAGCGGAATAGAGCATATTCTACAAGAACGTCCATTCAGAATGTCAGAAGATGAAACAGCATCACTTAACGATTTTGAACGAAATCTTTCAACATGTATTTCAGTGCATTTTAGAAATTATGGAGAGGTCAGACATTCCCTCCATACAATTCTTTGTCAATCTATTCTAAAAATCGTATTATATTTTGTGGCCAGTGGAGAGGATTATTTTACTGTTGTTGTAGCTGGTCTGTTTACAATACAATAACTTTTTTTAAAACAACAATAATAAATCATCCCTTCCAGAAGATGAACATCAATTAACATTTAACTAGAACCGAAAACTCGACAAAGTAAAATTGTCTTCCAAATGCTATGAGGGAGGGAACTTCATGAAACACTGGAAGTAATAGCATTATTTATTTGTATTGATAGGAAAATAAAAATATGAACATTCCAGGTGAAATTCTAATCTGAAATCCAAATTATGTATACTGTATTCACAATAAAGCACAGCTGATTTGGGCATGTTTAAATGTTAATAGACTAGCCTCTGTTATTGGCTGATATTCTGAACAGGCCATCTGGTGCTACTGGAATTTATACTTCTCCATTGTACTTTGCCCTTTCCTTCTTTTTTTCCTTCTTCTTTCTCAGATCAGCATTTAGTCTCTAGCATAATCCTCTTACCTGCGGTCTTTGTAAGCCTCCTCTTGGTTTGTTAATAAGCCTCCTCTTGGTTTGTTGTCTGTTTCTTTTCTTTCTCCTGCTTGGCCCTCTTGGCTTCATTGAGGGAGTTTAGCATCCTGCATGAGGGGCTTTGTCATTCAGATGTTAGGATGACCCAAATAAGATCCCGACTTCCTTAGAAGTTCCACTGAACTTAATGAGGTTACTTCTGAGCAAAAACATACAGGGTACTGAAGCACCCCATGCCCATCATACATGGGATTCCAGTTGACTTTGTAACTGGAAATAATATTTGGTCATACCATGCCCACTGTGTTTCTTTAAAGATTTTGCTCTGGCCAAAGTAGCTTCATAGTCAGATGCAACTCTCTGTTCTGATTGTCCTGTGATTTCTGTTCCTCCAGAGACATGCCAACTCCTTAGAGCTGATAAGCAGGTAGTTAATCTTTATTTTTGCTGATCTAATTCAAAAATAATTTTACCGGCTGTCTGGATAGCTTCACGTGGAGGAAAAAGCACAGGCCTGTGGTCTAGTGGTAATGGAGGCTATGCTATTATGGTCACCATTCAATGGAACTTAAACTGTAATGTCATATCTTAAAGAAAGAACCAAACAATGCCATCACTGGCAAGTTAAAGGGATGAAAGATTTAATAAATCCTACTTCATGTAGCAGATGATTTTATTACAGCCAGGTCTGATAAGTTAAAAAACAGTATTTCTCAATTTGATGGTAGACAGCTTCTAAGATCGTAATAACACCTTCAGAGAAAGGTAAAAGTTACAAACCGAAATTACACATTTGGAAGCATAATCACACAAGAATAACATTAAAAATTTAGCATAGCTCAAGATATGGAAAAAGAAAGTTCAAGGTATGCACAAAATATTTGACCTGCTGAGGGTTTTCAACTGGAAATAGAACTGATCAGAATCCAGCTGCCTGCCCCTTGTAGGATTAAACATATGTACCTTTTATTGATTGTTGTTATCAGAATTCTGAAATTTAATCACTTTCCCAGATCTTTACAAGGAGTTGTGAAGTGCTAAGACTGAACTGAATATATTGTTCTCTGTAAAAGTAGATTTTGCACTAAGATGCCTATCTCAGACCTATTAGGACTTAGGAGACCACATAAAGACAATAAAGCAAGTAGGTAGCTTTATTCCAGTGATTCTTAATTGTAACACATATTTAATGCAGAGATACAAATAGAAGATTTAAAGAATTTTACTCAAAAGTTTACAAAAAGGACAAGGATTAAATAGAAATTAAGCTGGTTCCTTTTGTTCCCCCTCTTGTGTTATTTTTTGAACCTATTAATTAAGAAATTAAATACTTCACTGATTACATGAGAAATTAAAATTCTCAACAGAATAATACACAATACGTATTTACAATTTTAGACTTTTATAAAAAAGAGTTTGAATCTAATATTATGCCAGCTTATTTTAATGATTTTTATATTACTAAACTTCCAAAACTAGATGATGATCACAATCCTATTTCATTAATGAATGTAGACGTTAAATAAGTACCTGGGATTCTTGCTGGCCAACTTCAGAAGGAAATAGCAAATTCAATACATCTTGCTTAAAAATGATTTAATTGTCAAAGGAAAGGAGCTGATAACCAGAGATTAATAGCGTATTTCAAACAGCACCAGGATGAAACTGCTTATAATTATTTCATTAGCCATAGTGAAAGCCTTTGATAATATTCATTGGCAACATCTATTTTTTATTCTTTCAAAATCCTAAGGATTTTGTACAATAACTCATAATTTTGTATTCTTTCCAAAAGCTCAGGTGAAAGATTTATTTATGAGCAATAGAATTTTCAGAAAATGAACGGTGGACTGCTAAAAACCCAGTCTGTCTCATAATAAAGATACACTGCTCTGTGTCTGCAGTGAAGTGGTTCTAAATAGTTTGCCTGGTTTATTGATAGCTATGGTAACATCCTTATCAAAAGTAGAATTATTTATCTTTGGATACTGTTGCATGGAATGTATGGTACCATATTTAGCGGTGGCCTTCTACTAGAGTTGCTGGGAGCAGCGTGGCATATACATTTAATAGAATTATGGTTGGTCGCACAGTCAGCTAGATGTTTACACTGGATTTGGCATTTTTATCCACCTACCGAGTCCTTCCCAAGGACCTGGGGTAGGCAGATGTTGTTGCTTGATGGCATTAAAGGGATCGTCTCAGGATGTGAGCTGTTCCAAGCAAAGCTGCCTTTTGCAATGGACTGATGGTGATTTTTGTCAGTGCTAGTGATGATGGTGGTGGCGGTGTTGTTGTTGTTGTTGTTATTGTTGTTTTACTGTTGTAAGCTGCTTAGAATCTGTGATTGAAGCAACTTGTCCTAAATAAGGAGGATTAAATTTTGTGTGTTAGTTTGTGTTATATGAAAGCTTGTGGAACTAATGAAATGTTGAAGGCTGTCCGCAGTGGCCCTCAAGCAGTTATTTCAATCTTTCAGATAAGCCCATTGCCATGTCATAGTGCAGGACCTTATTCCTGTACGAAAGTCTGTGGAAGGTTGCTCGACTGTCAGAATCATACTTGCCTGGAAGAATGCCACACAGTTACTGAAACAGATACCAACAATGACACGCAAAAGGTAAGTAACCTTTTCAGTGGCAAAGACAGTTGGTTTCATGATGGGGCGAGAGCCTTTTTAATGGGTGCATTAAGTTATAAGCAGGGGGTTATGTGTGTTGCGCAGCTGTATTTTTTTTCTAATAGTAATAAACTGGAATAACGTCTGCTCTGATAAGTAATAACTGTTATTTATTCTTGCTTGTTGTATGGTGGTGCCATCAGACAGGGCGGTGTTTAAGAATGGCAGAGCTCTATGCAGCAATTTAAATAGGATCGTAAAATCCAAATCTACTTAACTGTACCCCTGTCTATGTGTATGCTGAATGGAAATCTATGGCTTGCTTGTGCTCATGAAGGTTCATTTTACTGAATTCTTCCAAATATTCTGCTACTAGATGATAATGGTGATGAAGATGTAGATTTGCAGATGAGAGTGGAGCATAATTTGGTAATTGCCGACCCTCATAACAATATTTAGATTTTGCTCCAGCAATTCTGTTCTGGCTAATGACTGCTTTCTCTTCATTCTTCCATTGTGCTGTCTAAACTAAACTAAACTCTAAACATTTCTGGCTTTTATTATTAAAAAAAACTTTACCCTCTTTAAGGCCTTGGCCCACAATATGTTTCTGCCTTTAGACCATTACTAGTATTTTTACTAATCTGTAGTAGTTTAGCTTTAGGAAAAATCCTTATAACTGCTGTAGAAGATTGGCCTGACATTTATAGCCATTCTTCAGAGGTTTTCCTGACCTCTCATCTTCTGAACTTGGGTTCTGATCTTCACAGAACCTCTTCAGTTTGAACACTTCAGAGATAACATGTTGTCCCTAGCAAACTCATCGGATACTAGATCTGATGTCTCTTCTGCACCAGGTGAAGCATTATTTACTCCAGCCTCCCAGCTTAGTGTCAAAGCTGGTATTGGAGAAGGCTAACTGGGAAGAAAAGGCCAGAAATTTGGCAAACCTACTTATGAATGAAAGCAAGTGGAATGACCACTTTTTTATATATATATAGGCCTCTAAATAGCTGCTGTTCTCTGTTGAGTTTGGGAAATGGTACTTGCTTCCTAGACAGTTAAATGAAAAGTCTAGAAGATGGTAGTTAAACAATCTGTTTTAAACCTAGTTACAGTGGATACAAAAAAAGACCTTTAACCTTAAGATGATCCATTATGGGAAAGGTGTAAAAGTATATAATTACTGCAGTCAGTTCCTTTTTTTAACATTTTGCAGAACAGTTTGCTGTCCTGAATAATTCAGAAAACCTTGCAAGTGCAAAAATCAAGAGTTCATATAGAGAGAGGTGAAAATCTAAGTTTGTTTAATAAATAAATAAATAAATAAATAAAGTAATTAATAAAAGCTGGTAACAACTGCCAGCGATGCTAGATTCTCTCTTCTCCTATAGGCCATTAGAAGGCCTTCTCATCTCCACCATTGCCTTCAGCATCTACTGCCCCATGGGAAGGATACTAAATGTCTGTTGGTTTTGAAATAATTCCATATTTTTAATTACCAATGCTTATGTCGTTTGTAAGATGCTTTGAAAGGATTGTTAATCTAAACAATGGGATATAAATAATTCAAATGAATACATTATTTTTTAAATGGCAGTTTTATTAAAAATTACACCTACAACAATAAAAACTAATAAAAGTAAAAAAAGAGAAAATAATAAAAAGAAAAAATAGAAGGTGCAGAAAAAATAGAAAAGAAAAAATAAGAATACAGTAAAGAAAAAGAAATATATAAAGAATTGACTTCCCCCTTCATCACCACAAGTATAAACAATTTTAATAACTTATCACCTTCTCTTAAAATACAACAAATGATTTTTTCTTTCCATATCCCATCTCTTATCTATAAACAAGTCCTTAAAGCCTCATCGTTTCAGACCTCATCAGCAACAGTCTGTTAAGGGTTACCAGAGATAACAACATATCTATTTTATCTTTGATCAAATATACCAACTTTATATTCCTTCCTTTTACTTTTAACAGTCTTGATCTTTAGTTCCTTCAAATAATGTCCTAGAGCTTGATTTCATTTTTTCTTTGTCCCTTCTCACTAAATTCTTCAAAGCTTTAACAAGCCTCTTTTGTAAATCCAATATAGGAAAATTATCCTGGTCACTCTCTTGGTTTGTTATTTGTATATCCCTTTTAATTATTAAGACATCAGCCTATTTCTTTTGTATGTCCAGGGTAGCACCTTTTCCATACCATTCTTGTAGCCTATCATTTTTAAATCTACTTTCAGATCAGTCTCAGTCTTGTCCAGTAAAAATTGTTCCTCTTCCATAACATCTTTTAAACAGTCTATCTATAGAGGCAGACAAAATTCTGGATTTTGAACTTCTGGATCCATTGTTCAAAAATATCCTTCAATATGTCCAATATGTCCAAAAGTATTTTGCTCCATTCTGTATTAGCAAGTCAAATTTAAGTGTTCTTCTCCTTTAATTGTAATCTTTAGATCCTTCTACTGCCCTCTAGTGCCCAACCTTCAAAGTCCCACCCCATTATGTTTTTTTTAAAAGAATTCACAGCAAAAGCATTTTCCCACAGGAAGGATTCTTATGATTAATTCCAAAATCTTATTTT